GCATAGCAGCTGTAGTCATACTGGGTACAGAGTGAAACTTATATTCATACCCATAAGCCAGTTATCAAGGCTCATTCGCCTAACAGCACAAGTGCAATTAAGTGAGAAGCTCTAACGTTTTTCACACGATGATTTCCGAAGCAATGCGGTGAATCGTACGCGTATATACCTGAAAGATTGTTCAGCAGGGCCTTCTAAGTGACGATAATCAATCTTGCTGGTAGCATGAAGGCTCTTATTTGTTTGCGATGTTCGCATTATGACGTGTAGCCATGTGAAGAGTGTTTTCTTCAGTTATCTGTAACCCTTGACATAATCAGATGTCCTGGATTGACTTTCTATTTTCCCTTTTTTTCATCATCACTATGAATCCCATCACAATTAGGGAGTAAATAAACAGCTTAAGTAACGTAGTAAAATGGGTGCATAGGACACTCTGGAATAAAGGTTCAGTTGATCTCAAGGCAAACTCCACTAACTGGCTCAGCGTGGTGGACCATTCCGCCGCCAGGCCTCAGCAACAACAGTTGCGGCGATGTTGTAGAATATAGGTAGCTCGGGTGCGCTGATTGGTTGTTGGACCGGTTACCGAGCTTGGCTGTTGGATTGCAAATGTCTCACCACCAATTGAGGTGGCTCAACCCCGCACGTACGATGTCACCCCAACTGGTAATGAAACGTTTGCCATCCAACTGCCACGCTCGGCGAACAGAACAAGGAGCAACCGCTGTTTTAGCAAGCCCAAAGGTTCGATAAGACAGTGATGAGTCTGAACTATCCCAACCATCTAACCCGTTCTAAGGAATCCGCGGGTTCAAGCTCCTCCTTCACTTCTAAACAACGAGAACGACATCGTCATCTTCTGCAGAGCTTTAACTCGTTGGTGGATTTCAGCACCCTCCAGCTAGTATCATGGCGACTTTCCTCTATCAGTTTTGGTTTCACCAACCACCTCACTACAGAGACTTTTCGGTTACTAATATTGTCTAGTATGTTCGTTTATTAAAACTAAAGTGCTTAAAAAGAATTCGAAAATAGTTTGTAAAAACAGAATTCAAGGGGATCCTGCTTGACACCTGGTGTAGTGGACTGCACTGGTCTTACGAAGCAACTCGGCTGCTTTTTCGGGAAGTAGGTCACGCTGCGGTTCGCACAAGAGCTCGAATCCGGACATGAACTTTCGGACCGTTGCTGAGCGAAGTAGTGGCGGTTGGTAAATGGCGTGAAGCTGCCAATATGGGTAGTCTGTTATGTCAGATGTGGACGTTTCGGAAACATTGCAGAAAGGAGCCTGATACCAACCCATGGAATAGGGAAAATCGGTGTGGAATAGATTGTCGTAACGTGTCAGCAGTTGTTGGATGATTTCAACCAAGCCTTCTCGTTCTTTATCCGTCAGTTCATGCAACCAGCGAATATGACGTTTGCGAGGCAGAAGAATAGTTTCGAATGGCCAACAGGCCCACCAGGGAACAAGGACTAGCCAGTCCTCCGACGCGATCACCAGACGATTGAGTGTCTGCCCAAAAGTGCGCTCTTCTTGTCTAGCATAGTTCAATAAAAGTGGACTGCCATGTGTTTCAAAGTATGCTCTTTGGTTGTAGTCTCGCCGCTTCACGATTGATGGGAGAAACCCACATGCCCATACCTGGGAATGGAAAAAGGTAACTGAGTAACGAAGTATTTTCCATAATATGACACTACTCGTAACATCGGTGAAAAATTTGGACAGCCCAGTACCGGCTTCATCCTTTCCGGAGCTCATTAAGTAGTTCCAGTCCCCAAATTTTAATCTATCCTATTTCGTAATTGATTACCGTAAACTGCAGCGATAGAGTAATTGGTTCATTAGGATGACTGCATTCGATCGGACTGCTGACTAACGATAGTCGCTACATCTAAGTTTGTACATTTCGAGGTACCCGTGGGTATTCGAAAGGGCTCAGATTATGTTGGTGTCTTGCCAATCTTATTTGGATTAATCCTTTTGTCTGAGCACACCGTGTGTGTGGCTTATCAGGTGCCGAAAAGATCAGCTATGCGCAGCGAATATAAGTAAGTTAGTTGCTCAGTTGTAACACCCTCTTGATCCCTAGCTCATATGACACACGAAGGAAGCACGAGGCCTGACGTATTGGCCGGTCACCCAAAGCTAGACAGCATCGAGATGCCGAGGTCACGTTTGAACCATGGACCTTCTGGCCTTAACCTCTTAGTAAACTCGAGCTCATGATATGATATGAGGAGTGTCGCGACAGAATTTCAGCATCTTTCTTTTAGCTTTAGTGATATTCTCCCAACAAACGATTGTTTGATTTTCGTGCCAGTGATCTATATGAAGCCTCGCTCCAAATGACGACAGTAGTATATCTACCAGGTCCGTGTGTGGTCGTATTAATGGTTGGCTTATCGTGATTCAATATACATGTTTGTACTGATGGAGGTGAATTCCACTCCAAAAGTTTCCCAATGCTGAATTTCGTCTCACATACCTAGTTGGTGAGTATATAAGGAAACGGATGTCGTCGTGTTTCTGGTACCTCATCATTTTGAAGCGAGTTTCAAGCGCAACTTGAATATGAACAGCCCTAGCGCCATAAAGTCGCTTTCCAGCCAATTACTGGTTGACATAATCTCAATGACAGTACTTCCATATCATAGCCATATAAAATAAAGCCTCACAACGACTCTTAGCAAACAAAAATCCCATAACAAACACCTCCATAATGTAACAATGAAGACAGCTTGTTTACAGTTGGCAGCTGCTATCTTGTTTCCTCTTGAAGCCTGCAGTTCGAGTACAATGCGGTCGGTCAAATTGAAATTGGAATTGAAATCCCACCCACTTCGTTTGTGCCTTAGGTTGTTCCCCAAAGCAGAAAGCCAAGTATTTATATGGTTGTAAGTTGTTTCATAGCCATGGTAATGTTGGGTGGAGTAATCTCACCTAACAGGCTGTCCTCTCCCTCTCCCAATAAAGAGGATATCCCACCCTACCGTCAATGTAAAACAGAAAAACCACCACTAAGCCCTATATTCAGGCCGTACTATGCGTATACTTTGGCAATGTCAGACCTTGAGGAATGACGAGTAATTTTAACCTCAGGTCATGCATGCTCTGTTGTGATTCTGAGGTCCTCGTCAGGGCATCAGAAGACGCTCAGGCATTGAATACACATTCCGCTAACTTCAACAAACTTCTATTCACTTCTACTGCTTTACCTTTCTCGAAAAAATCGTCTATATTGAATTTCGCATCGACAATCCCATTTAGCATTGTCTTCAATAGAAAGTTTATTCCTCTACCCCTGGTACAGGCTCATGGATGGTCAGTCCAATCCCATATTCGTAACAGTCAAATCGCTTGCGGTCATATAAATGACAAAAAGTTCAAATGCCTTATGCTATCGGAAGCAAATCTATGGGGGAATAGAACGGGGTGAAATTTTCCCGTATTGATGAGAACACCTACAATAACCTACCTTCAAACGCATAAAATTCCTTAACCATAAAGCCTCATAGCAAAAGAGTGTAACAACAGTCTACTGTATACAAGGAGTACTCGATATAGTGCCTTCCTTTCGATTAGAACCTCGAGAGAAGCGGTACGGACGTGGTACAAACTTGGGCCAATCTGACCCCAAAACACTTGCGTGGCCAACTTGAATAGTAGGGCCCCAAAAACTGCGTTGACTGCGCCCCGTACAATCATCACACATTTTATTAATAATAATAACTCAAAGGTGCTTCATTTAGTCTAGCACCATTGAATAAAGAAAAGCTGGTAGGATGGCGACGGAATCGTTCAGCTGATTGACGAGTAAAACGAGCACAAATTGTGGACCGGGTCAAATCTGTCCTACTGAATGCGTAAAGAAAAATCACCACTATAAACAGCTATGGAATTTCCCCCCTACAAAGTCAAAAACTATACGAAAAAGATTCGAATTGACGCCAAAGGGTATTGATAAAAGTTACTGCGAACACACTGTAATTTCACTGTAGCCGGCATCATTGCCGAACACAACAAACTTTTGCATCCGCTTTCAACTTAGTAGTTCAGTAATTAAAAGGACATAAGCATGAAGTTCAACTGTAATGCATGTCGTGCCATACAGATACCACAAGTACATCAGCTGACATAACCAATCTGGATTCACACAAGCCTCTATGACTTGTAAAACTCAATCATGGTGCTTACAGACACTGGGTACATGAGCCCTGCTACAGATAGCTATAGCTTCTGAATGAACATCAGAATTCCCTGCAGGATCTGTCGAGTCAGCAATGGACACAAAGGAAGAATCATCTCCAAACGTGGTTACGCATACAAAATAAAACATCGAATGTCGCCATTTGAGCGTACAACTGAGTGTTCGCCAATAGGTTGCGAGGTGTTCAAGGATGAGTGCTCACGCACTACTCAGGAGAAATGTTAAAAATTCGGACTCAACAATGGTATTGGTTCAAGACTGATATATCGTGAACCGGTTGATATTCCCCAAGCTGTAACAGGGTAGCTGAAGAATTCGTATTGTTTGACAGAACACTTTGTGGAATCGAGCCAAGTGGCAGGACCAACCAGAGAACCAAACAGCCAAACGCCACACGATATAAATCGGATAGGTTAATCTCAACTGTCACCTAAAAGTCGACCAACTGTAACATGAGTCGACTATCCAATCAACGAGGTTGTCCCTCCGAACAATCACTCATCCACAAAAAACTTACCCTTAAAATGATGTACGTGAAACCAACCATATCAACAGTTAGCATATAACACAACTGCTCTGCTGTGCGACGGTGCAACGATGTCATCTTGATGGGCAATGAAACATTTGCAACAAAGTAGCCAAGCTAAAAGTACAATTTGGTCAACAGCCGAACGAACTCGGTTGCCAACATACTGTACAGAGTTGGTCATGCTGAATTAGGCAATTTCTCGAAAAAAATTGTACAAATGGAAACCTTTTCCCGGAGATGGGTGGTCCAGCAATAAAGATGACTCCGATCTTCCAGTTGTTAATCGGACATGGGCCAACAAAAGTGCAATGCCTAAGTTACCTGTCTGCCTTTCATAACTGTTAGAATAATTCTCACTAAAACGAACGACACGTACAAGCACATCACAAGGCCGACAACCAGTGTTAACATATCTTCTGGGGAAGTGGGTTTCAAGGTTTATGTGCCGATCACGGGTGCATATATGGCTTCTGTGGCATCGTTCCTGATTCTGAATATAGCAAACCATGCTGGTCGTTGGCTTGTTCGCTGAGCTGGGTAATTTGATTGCAAACGTTTCATCATTAATCGAGGTGACATCATCAGTGCGTTATTGGGGAGCGTAGTAGTACGTAGCGGCGGGTTGGTGGTTGTGCGTTGGGTAGTGTTGCGCATGTGTTAATATACGTGCTGCTAGCAGGGGGTGACCCCTGATCGCGATTAGTTGTTCGGTCGGGCGATTCCATTGGTTGCTCGTTGTCCTGTGTTCCCATTCGCCGATGCCCACGTGACCTTTGAGCTTGACATCCCCTGCCGTCGATGCTAGAGTGACCTTTGTCCATTCGAGTCCCGGCTTGTGACTTTTATTGATTTGCCAACGACCACCATCTACGCTACCTGAGCTACTGACATTTTCCTCCATAGAATAGCAAACCATGCATGTGCGCCGACTAAATTGTGTCAAGTAGCAGAGATCCATGCGAACGTTTGGTTCGGGAATGCACTCAGTCGACAGTCTATTTGTCCAGTAGTGACAATAATGCGGAGTCCGTGGTTAAATCTGTACTACGCTGTAGCAACTTCTGAATTGATACAATCAGAGCCAAGTAAAGCACCAACAAGGGTAGACAGAATCAGAATAAGGTAGGTCGTGGAAAGAAGAGGGGAGGAAAATCGGCTCGTAAAACGTCTGTATAATAGTTGGTAGCGAATTGAAATTTCGGTTCCCCTGGGTTTAGTTGAAAAAATAATCAAGTACAGGCTTGATCAGACGTTGCTCTTTGCGACCAACGAAGAGGAGCCGTAGTAACACACCTCGACTGACACGGTCAAAGATGATCTTGGAACAGTGAACGCACGATTTGACTGATTTATCGAGTGTCGGATAAACCAAAAGCAGAAGATAAACGACGGCATCCAGTACACAGCACAATTTTCGGTACGTGAACCAAAACGAATCCTCAGTTAGCCGGCTAAAACTTAGTCTCGATAGTACCTTACATCTAAGTAACCTCACATGAATAGATACGTCGGCACTAGTTCGACATATTATGTTCCTGTGAATCCCCATAAGAGAGGAACATACCGCTTGGTTGTTGCAAAACCCTAACTTAGAGGTTAAACTAAGTAGCCGGATGGATGTACAAAAATATTTGCAGTACACTTTAATGTTCAAGTTTGTGGGGGGCAACCGACGTATACTTTTGGCGAATTATGTAGCTATTCCATACGTGGTAAAATAATTCCTTGAGAGACCATGTACCACAAATGGTAGTGCTACAAAAGTTCAGTAGACTAATGGTTGGTAATTAATTCAGTGACGATAACAACCAAACATTCTCACATCATCGATGAATTTTGAAATCTTCAATTTCATAGCCGCCGTAATTTGTCCATGCCGTAAGTTTCATCTTGCTAACCCTATCT